GTGATTATCAGATGACGTCGTTCAATTACGGTCACGTCATCGCCTTGAAACGCATAGTCCAGAAATCGAGATATCTATTTTTTATAGATACTGATATGACTAAAAATATACTCTAATACTAAGGTAATAAAGCGTTGATAGATTCTATGCATAGAAATGCAGTGTCCTACTAAAATATTACACCTACTATGTATGAAAAATAAATACAAACTTTTTACTCTAATCTATTAATTATCTATTATGGTAAAAAATATAGCTACTAATTACTGTAAAAAGTTTGTGAATTCTGGGATTTTGAACAGACAGATCTAATCAGGATACTTTAAACCATTTGGTCTTTATAACTCATCATATACAATGTTGGTTGGCATACTAACTACTGGATATCTACATTTGTACTTTAAAATTTTGTATATTAGGTGGGCATCGTTGTAAAAGATTTTTAATTATTTTTTCATATTGTGTTAATTGAATTCGATGTTTATTTATTAGGTAACAGGACTTGGTTTGAAGAAGAGTGTTCTATTCATCATAACTGCGTTACTCATTATACTGTCTATCAACCCAGTTTTGTAAACATTTCTTTAAATCTATACAGATAAATAAAAGTGTCTGTTTGTAATATTAAAATAACTGCTTTTCACTACATGCATATGAATATACATACGATACATATACTAAAATAACTGTTTTTACAAATGTTGTCGGTCTGTTTATACTGGAATTATATCTGGAATGGCTGGACCGATTTTGGTTGGAGTGGGTGTGCAAGGAGTTTAAGAGAATTCTTATAAAAGGCTGCTTTTTCATTTTATCATTTAGTATTCCTAAAAATAAGGTGAAAATCATGTGGGCACTTTTTATCTAGAGCTTCAGGTTCGCCTAAAAATGAGACCTAAGGGTCAGTTGGCGGAGTATGTAAAAACACCTTTCGGGCACCCCGACACATTTGGTTAGGTCAGGTTGGAACTGTGACCCTCACAAGGCGCAGCAGAGGCCGCCGAGCGCTGAAAAACGCTTTTTCTAATTACTCCGCCAACTGACCGTTAGGGCCCATTTTCAAGCGAACCTGTAGTCTTAGACAGAAAGTGCAAAATTATTTTCGCTTTATTTTTAGGTATATTAAGCGATGGAAATGAAAGACTAGCCAATTATAAGAATTTTCATTTTTGATGAAAAATTTTTAAGTCCTAAATCTCTTGCACACACTTTGCTACACTCTGACCCCGATTTTACAAGACTTTCTTTGGCAGGTACCTGATGCACTAAAAAGTAAATATGCAACTTTTAATTTGGAAAATTGAATCAAAAAGAAAGTTGTATTCTTAAATTCATACTATACGCGGATGATGTAACGGGTAACAGCTAATAGTATTATAATGTAATTTCAAAATGTAATCAAAATAATAAATATTATCTATTTATGTTCAATATTAGTATGTCTATTTATGTCCAATTGCCAAAGCTGGGCAAACAGACGAAGTTGTGGGTGGCAACGACTCACCAGACTCACTATTTTAAACTATATTATGTAAAGCTATTTCGTCCGAATAAAGGCTTTTATATTATTACGTAGGTATGTGTTGCAAACTTAGCTTAATACATTTTCAGTGTGTACCTGTATTCTTGTTGTGATAATTATGTACTAGATATTAGTTGTCTGTTTTCTACATCCATCAATCACCAACAATTGATATTTTCTATCTCATTGTGTTAAAGAGGGTTTCACATGCCTCGCTACATATTTATACAGATTTCCAGTTTCAACTCAGCAATTAACACCCAATAAAGATCACACTAGTCACGAAAAACTTGCCATTTGATAAGAGATATATGACTTTTTGACCACGAGTACATAAGACGTACATAATATATTATGTATACCCGCAATGAGCAAGCGTGGTGATTAATGCTCAAACCTTCTCCGTGTGTAAAGAGGTTTTGCTCAGCAGTGGGCATTTATAGGCTGTTAATGTGATGGGTGTGATGTGATATAATGTATATAATATGTACATTTTATGCACTTACATGATATGTACATATTGGCATACTTATCTATCACTAGGGTAAGAAAAGGCAATGGAGGTCAACCACACGATTCTTGCATCCCTCTTTCGCTTCATCTACATTCACCAATTTCTTCATGCATTCTCATGCATTCACTCTAACTAGCTTACTTCTTCTTTTATAATACTTACCTGTACCATAACGTAACTTTAGCCTGCAAACATTTTAATGATCTTTCTGATTTAATTTTTGTCGATATTGGTCTCTTTATCTTATGCCTTTTCGCGACTAGGCTGGGGTCTGCACTGAGCACTAACTGAATTTCACCGCATTTAACATGTAGCTACTACCGTCTGCCCTCCCTAACGAAACAGAAGATGGTATAACATTCGTGGCAAAATCTATATGTTATTTTCAGATGTTTCCGCTACCTGTAATAATAATTGTTGGAGATTGTAGATATTTATAAGTAATGCATTAATAACGTTATACTACGTACTTTTTCGAGGTGAAGAGATATGTTGAAGTGACAAGAATGGATATACAAGTACAATGTTATCTGTGGTTGGTCTGTGCGGTTGTTATCAAGCCATTTAGCCGACGCAAGATTAATGAATTATAACTGAGGAATCACTTTGAATATTTAACAAATATTCCATATTGAATACTGTCATTATTCTACAGTTCAGTATTAACTGATGATTGCAAAATCGGGCGTAAATCAAACTTCGTTAACAACATTAGATGCAAAAAAATGTTTACAAAACCGGGTTAGCTGGACTGTTTAACTTGTTTAATCCTACTAATATTATAAATGTGAAATTTTGTGAGGATATATGTGTATCTGTCTTCAAAACGGCTGACAAGTTTGAGATGAAATTTGGAAAAGGGGTAGATTTTGATCTTGAATAACACATAGGCTACGTTTTATACCACGGGAATACGGGCGAAGCCGCTGGCAGAATCTAGTATGTAATATTATGATGGATAATAGGAATATTACATAGATTTATATTGAATCTTCTGATTCACTTCGTTGCGGGGAACAAGACCGTTATTCATGTCCCTGGGACGCGCCGGACTTCAGTGTTCCGGTGTTTTCATGGCTGTATCTATAGTAGATCCTAGCTTACAGGAGTTGCAGCGGTTTTGGGAGGTTGTGGAGGGATTGGCCCATAAAAAATATTAATATTGAAATAGGAATGATCTACTGATGTGTGATAAACACACGCACAGTGTACACGTTTCACATTTGCACGAATGTACGTGAAACGTGTTCTTCTGCGTTATTTCTGCGATATTGTATTGATCGTGTTTAGTGTGATTAAACTAAACTATTAACACGCCGGTAAAATAAGAAAAGAATAGTCAGTATTGTACTTTTTGGATTATGAAATTCATCAAATGCTTCAGACCAAGGCATACTATTAGAAGAAGTCAAATGTTAGTTCTTGGTGACATACGAAGAATACTAATCCAAAGGTGCGTCCAGATCTGACGTAAATAGAGATGTGGACACACTTTGATATGTATTACTATGCTACTTTAAGAAACAAAATTAGTAAGACACCGTTCTAAGACCGGTGAACAAACAAGTAAGCCATCCATTCTTAAAATTTTAATTTCTTAACCGACATGTGTATTTGCAAACCAACGAATAATATTCCTGACCTATAGGAAATCAAACTATTTCCTATTAGTCTAACAATTAAGTAGATATCTGCAACAAAAGAGGAGTCGCTCATGCGTTACTCACTCTAATTCGCAAGCTTCCAAAACCTAAATACATATAAGGCCCTAGGTTAACAATGATTAAGTGCTAGCCAGCCAACGACGAAGGACGCCGCACCGTCGTCTTTAAAAAGCTAATACAAGCAAAATAATATAAATGTGCTTTATTCAATTTGTAGCAACATGAAGCATTTTAATAACAACAGAAGGATGACCTAATTATTTGTCCACCAATTTACAATAGAATATAATATACATAATTCGAGACGTATATTTTTAGTCTACTTCCTCATATTGTTCACATTATAAAGCGCGTTAATTTACAACCTAGAGGTATCCCATATAGGGAATAATTTAAGTCATATTAGGAATTATCTGGAATTGTCAATATAGGGTAGTCAGTATCATGATTTAGACAAAAGCATTGAAAATACTAATGTCTAAGACTTGTACCAACTTTAGTACTGTAATGTTACAGTACTATTGTCAAAATCATGATTGCACGGCGCTACAGGTTTCCGTAGCGTCGTTTTCGTCCACAATAGAGTTAAATATCCAAATCCAATGGCACGTCATATCATATCGTATAAGACAACGCAAACAGTATTGGACAGCCCAATCAAGTTAGACGTTAGTCGGCGAAAATTGACTGAAAGTTGAAAAAACTACAGCGTACTTTCTGCTCAGATCATTTGCAACCTGCATCACTGGCCTACGAGTCTTTATCTTTCACGTCCAATCAGAGGCCATAGCACGAGTTTGTTTTACGTTTAGAGTGATCGAAACGCTTTCGTTGCTCTGATTGGCCGCCTCCAGTAAACCAACCAATCAGAGCGCGTTTCGATTACTTCAAATGCAAAACAAACTCGTATTAAGCCCTTTGGAGTGTTGATGTTTTTTAAAGGGTGGCAAAGTCATCAAATGACTCCTCACGCACTGTGTGACGTTAGAGGAAGTGCCAGACTCTTACTGACTAAAAACCAACCCGTTCCTACGCCTACTTCAAGCTAGAGTCACGATAACCCTTACGGGTGTAAGTAACCCTGGCTAGGCATTGATCCTAGTGCATTGAGATAGACATATAGAGTCGAATCGCCGTACAAATAGTGACAAGCCTTACAGACGTTAGTCATAATGATAATAAATTTATATTACCAGATATTTAAAATAATATATTTTTTTAATCTTTACTAAAAATTATACTATTGTTAGAACATTTTCACTTTTATTAATTTATTCTAATCTAGTGTATCTCAGTCTAATCTTAGGCGTCATTATTGTTGTTGCGACTTGAGTGAGTGAGATACAAGTTTCTTTGGATAGTTTAGTGGTTTCAAAGCTACGTCTATGTATGTCAAAAGTGGTTCCATGATTTTTGACGCGTGGTAATGGAGACTGTTACTCTATAGGTTTAACTCAATGCCCTAGTGGGCCTGTGATGACTGAACACATCTGTCTGACTGAACCGGCCAGTGAAGGCAAGCCAGAGATGACAGACCAATGTCTCGTGTTCGATCACTCCAGTCAACCAATTAAGGCAAGCCGGAGATGAAGATTGGCAATTTCTCTTAGGAACAATATAAAACTATTATCTACCTTCGTCATATCCGTCTTTTTTGTCAAATTCAATATGAGTTCAGAACTTAACGAGTTCACCTTCTATGGAAAATATGTTATCAAAACATAAAATATTTGTAAAGTACCTATTTGTTAAGTATTAAAAACTGCAGACAACGTAACCCACCACTTAAATTCTAGGTTTGACGATATATTTTGAGTCCAAGATGTATTTGTTTATTTTAAACCCAAAGTAAAAGAATCACAAACATCTGTGCCGTGATATTTATTAAAATTATAAAGCATGTATATCTTTAGATCAACGGTGGTTAGCGACTATTTATTTTAATAACCGTGCTTAGCTGATGGCTCAAAAGGGAATTATTTAAGAAGACCGCAGTTGTCAAATGAACAAAATTTCATGTAATGCCATAAAGATAACAGTGACCGAAAACAAAACGAGGATATGAATCAAATGTCAATATTCTAAAATCAAAATTATAACAAAAAGAGGTTTAAATGATTGGCTTGTGAACCGCGTTACTTCTATTTGGACATTACAAAAATATCCTCCAAGGTTATCTAGGGATTGAAATTTGCGTAACTCAAATTAATCAAAATAATTACCGGATCCGCTTTGAATTACACTATCTGACGGAAATTAGACTCAATATTAAAAAAGACGATATGACGACTAGGTGAGAATTGAAAAAGAATAAAAGTTATAATATCTTACTGCACTCGACACGGTAATACCGTGCATAGTGCAGTGCGATATTATAAATTATTCTTTTTAATTTAAAGACTTATGTTACCTCAGACTTTCGTTAGAGTTTTCTCAGCCTTGATACGATATGAGTGCAAAAAGATCTTTCGATATTTTTATTACGTTTAAGTAGAGAAATATTTGTTTTAGTAGTTGTTTTGCTCTTCAAGATGTTGACGGCGGCCGGCATGCCCCAGCTGCAGAGCTATAGTGCTTGTAAGCAGTCCGATTCAGAGATCTGAAAATTATAGTACAATTATGTTAGCTTGGTATGCTTGGTTTGGACATGATGCTAAAAAGGATGAGAGTATGGATGAAATCCATTACTGTTACTTATTTATTTTAGGCTTACAAAACAAGTATTTAGGGCACACGTAAGTACTAGTTTATAAACAGGATGTAAAGAGAACGCTTCCCAAAAACGAAGACAGATGACGGTAAAAAACAAATTTATTTAAAAAAGTAAAGAATAAAATGAATATTTTATATAGTAATAGTTGTAATCCGCTGCTCAAAGCTGATGTTGCATGATTAAAACGAAAACACAAACAATCAAAATAGTAAAACTGACTGCACGGTTGGTGCGGTGGCCGGGCAACCGGCTGCCGTGCAACCTGTCGCGGGTTCGATTCCCGCACGGGACAACACTTTGTGTGATCCACAAAGTGTTGTTTCGGGCCTGGGTGTCATTGTGTATGTGAACTTGTATGTTTGTAAACGCACCCACGACACAGGAGAAAATCCTAGTGTGGGGCAACGTTTTTAAAAAAAAACAAAAATAAATAAATAAAAGTCTTCGTTTTAGGAAGCATTACATACCCTGTATATGTAGAAAACAGCGACACAACAGAAAATATAAATGTAGAAAATTATAATTACGTCGACCATAACATTGTGTGTTTACACTCCGAAGGAAATTGTGCTTTGTGTTAGGCATATTATTACAACTAACTGCTATATCCTCCATTGAACAGTTCCCTAATTTGCTGTTGCAATTTTAGGACAAGCCCTATAAGAATTATCAAATCACAATCTCATTGAAAAAAAAATTACCTTCTCTAAGACGTTTCCATCATGGCAGTCTGCTTCAGGTTCTTCGAAGTAAACTAGGGAGAAAATTTCATCCTCTTCTTCATCAGGTAATTCATCAGGGTATCGCTCGTATCTCGAAGGTGCAGCAACTGTCTTAGGTTGCTTTTTGGTAGCAGTTGGAACACTTTGTCTTTCATCAGTCCCAGGTAACCGAGGCTTCGGTTGTACCGGGCGCTCAGGTTTTTTCTCCGTTAAATGCGCATTCCGAGGTGGCAATGGAACATCGTTCACCTGCAACAAATTAATATTTTCTAAAAATACTAAAATCGTTATTTTTAATATTCCTATGGTTAAATCAAATGATATCGCATATAAACGTACATGATCGATGAAGCTGAAAACTGTTTTACAACTATAGTATGACTTTCTCCTGTGCCGTGGGTACGTACCACAAGCATACAATTTGACATAGTTACGCGTCACAGGCCCATAACGAGTGTTTGTGAATTACAAAAATAATTATACTGTGCGAAAACCGAAATCGCGACGAGTTACACCACGGATGAGACTGCCTCGTTGGCCGAGTGGTTGCAAGTGCGACTGCCGGGCAAGGGGTCTGGGGTTCGATTCCCGGGTCGGGCAAAGTAATACTGGGTTTAAAAAAAAAATGAGATTTTGCCTCCTTGTGCGTGTTCTACCGCTTATATAATGGGTTATATTCTGCGGAATTATTTGATATGATGCCCACGGCCACTTTTTATCATCGCACCGCTCGCCATCGACAGGGGGTTCACGCTCACTCATTGGAGCCAGAATGGTCCCGTACAGTTCGGTTTCAGAAGAATTTTCTCCCACGGACCCTCCGATTGTGGAATGAGCTCCCTGCCGTGGTTTACCCAGTGGGCTACAACATGAGGTTCTTCAGGAGGGCGGTGAATAGGTTTTTTAAGGGTCGGCAAGACGCATGTAATGCCCCAAGTGTTGCAGGCGTACATAGGCCACGGTAACCGATTACCATCAGGTGGGCCGTGTGCTTTTTTGCCACCGTCGTGGTATAAAAAAATAATCTCAGTAGTAGCACTCCAACCTCTGACGAGTAAACACCCAGATCATGACAAAGACGTTTATGAGTACCTCGGTTCCCCACTACAAATGTACTTACCGCTAAAAAGTGCTAGCCCTAAGGAAGTGTGGAAGGAAATCCTAAAACTACCGGAAGGTAAAACACCAGGCTATGACTTAATTGACGCACAACTTTTAAAACAACTACCAAAAAAAGGGATAATACTCATTACCTCATTATAATCTTTAACGCCTGTCTTAAGTTAGGCCAATACCCGGCAAAGTGGAAAATTGCCCAGGTTATCATGATACTCAAACCAGGCAAACCGCCCCATGAAGTAAATTCTTACAGACCGATAAGCTTACTCCCGGTGCTAGGCAAACTTCTAGAAAAAATCCTACTAAACAGGATGCTCACCTACCTACCGGAAACAATACCTGACCACCAGTTTGGCTTCAGAGAACAGCATGGGACTATCGAACAAGTACACCGCCTCACGAATACGATAAGTCGAGCGCTAGAAAGCAAGCAATTTTGTTCGGCTTTATTCTTGGATATAAGTCAAGCATTTGATAGAGTCTGGCACGAGGGACTTCTTTATAAGGTCAAAAAACTACTGCCACACTCGTTTTACTCAATCCTGCAATCATACCTGAATAACAGATGCTTTGAGGTAAAACTTAAAAACGCAACCTCACAGCTGAACAATATCTTCTCAGGAGTCCCACAAGGTAGTATACTGGGTCCCGTAATGTACTTAATTTACACCGCAGATCTACCGCTACATACCGACACCCTTACTGCCACCTACGCAGACGACACAGCCCTCTTATCAGTACACAACGACCCACTTATAGCTTCGGCCAAGCTACAAGAACATGTCAGTAAAGTGCCAAAGTGGCTGGACACCTGGAGAATTAAGGCCAATCAGAGTAAATCTGTCCATGTCACTTTCACCCTCAGAAAACAAACGTGTCCTCCAATAAAACTCCACAATGAGGAGATACCACAGGCCGAGGACACTAAATACCTGGGCATGCATTTAGACCGAAGACTCACTTGGAGAAAGCACATATGGACTAAGCGTAAACAGTTAGACGCAAGACTTAGATCAATGCATTGGTTAATGGGTCGCAAAACAAGACTCTCGAAAGAAAGCAAGATGGCCATCTATAAAACTATCCTTAAACCGATTTGGACATATGGTATCCAGTTGTGGGGTACATCAAGCAACAGCAACATTGAGATCCTTGAAAGGTTTCAAAGTAAAACACTGAGAGCCATACTCGATATTCCTTACTACGTAAGTAATAAATACATACATGAGGATTTAAACATCAGTACAGTCAAGCAGGAAATTGCCAGATACAGCAAAAACTACCAGTCGAGAATATCTACACACATCAATGAACTCGCTTCTAAACTCGAAGGCACGGGAAGTGTTACATACTCCAGACTCAAACGCCATAGCGTTCCTACCCTTACTACGAGGTTCGACAGCTTATGAGAGGAAAACAAAACTTTCCTACTGTAAGACCAAAGACTGGTGACGTGGACCACAACTGAATGGCTCATTGTGAATGATCACAGATTGCTAAGTTGCAGAAAATATAAGAAAAAAAAAAGTAGTAGCACGGAGTCTGGAATTGTGCCCGGTATATGGCAATAGGCTCACCCCCTATTACATGGGACTCATAACATAAATAGTGAAAAGTGGGTGTTACATTGTACAGTGGCATAATGTTTACCTCTGCCTACCCCTTCGGGGATAAAAGGCGTGATGTTATGTTACACCACGGTCAGTTACCCAGTCACTGTGCAAACCGTGGAATACACATTACACACACTATATTATGAAACACTACATAGTAAAGTTACCTTTTCAGCTATTTGCATGCAAATCTCGGTGATCGTCGATGCTTCCGTGCCTGGATGGCACTTCAGCATCAGCCCTGGAGTATCCTCCTTGTCAACCTTCACGAATATCATTGGGCCTGAAATTATACAATAAAAAATTAAACAAATGCTTGTAATAAACATTGTTTTGTATAATGTAGCATTCTGATGGAATTCATGGAATAATAGCACTAAAAGTGTAATATTTCCACATGAATTCTGTTTAGTGGTAGTTGTAGTTACACTACAATCTGATAGCTTAGTATAATGTAATAAATTCGATAAAAGACAATATTTCAGAAACTTGTAATTATTTGGAGCACAAAGGAATGTACAAATGAATTGCCATGGTTTATAGAACTAGTGCTAAAAAAGAGCACACTTATTATTATAAAGTACCCAGATCCTGTAGGTAGGAGTCACTATTATGCTGGGACTGCGGGGAACCATAAGGGTTACCGGAATTCCGGCTCAAGTAAGAGTAAGAACGAGGTGGGTTTTAGTCAGTAATAGTCTGACACTCTCTCGCCTCACCCAAGGCGGGTAAAGCCTTGGATGATTTCCCGCCTGAAAAAAAAGGAATGCATTTTATTCTTACCAGGTGCCTTTAAACGCTCTTCTTCTACGTTTTTAGGTTTAGTTTTTTTTCCTTCGACGGCCTTCCCTTTTCCCTTGGACGGCTTCGATGGTTTGTCCAGATGAAGGCGCTCTAGAATTGCACGGACAGGCTGGTGGAATAAACCGTGTCCAGGCTTCTCAGACTTAGATGGCCTCGGCGCGCGCGGCGGCAGTAGAGGCGCAAGATCGGATTGCTTTGGTGATTTAACACAAAAAAAGTGCAAAAAGATTAATTATTATCATACATAACATAACATATGCGTAATTGTCGTTAGACGCAATAGGTACATGTCATAGGTAGGTTAACGGCAGTCAACCACTCGAATCGTGTGCTTAAAACCATTTGCCCGCGATGCTGATGCATCCGCTTAATGTTGCAGTAATAATGTCGTCATGTCACGTTGTCTAAATAAAAATAATCTAAATCTTACCAATCAGCTAAATTCAAGTATTTAGGGCGACGAAAGAGAAGTAATTTTCGGTTCCTTCCTTGACGCTCCAGGGGTTTAATTTGCAGCGTATCTTAAGATCTTGATGTATCACAAAACTATATAATAGTTAATAGTCTGTCAGTTAGTTCCTGTCAAATGTGGCAAAGGATCGGAGTATAAAAGAAAATGCCTAATATTATGAACCAGTTCTTTTCTTTTCGATCGCTTTATTGCGTAAGTTACATTTCATTAAATAAAATTGTACAACATCATGAAAACAAATCGTAGATGTGTTGCTTATATTTATTTAAACAAGAAATTAATGAAAAAAATAAAAATTAATTCGGTACTATTGTTCTGTCTCAGTCTGCATCGTCAAGCATAACTTATATTTTGAATTGTGAATGGTTCCTTCTTGAAGTAAAAAAATAAATATATATATATATATATATATCACCTTGTACTCCGAACTTCACAGGAAAAAAGGCAAAAATAAAATAAAAGACACATTTCTCTCGATTTACATTTAATTAATTTTATATTTCCATGATTTCCTGTTGAAATCCTTTTATATTAAGTTAGTTAATCGAGGGAGACCATCATGGAGACAGCTTTGACGATATCCCCGTTAGTTTTCTGCAGTTGTTCGTGGCACTTGTCGAAGGACACGTCAGTGCCGACTGACACCTTGACACGAACTAATTTGATAGCATTGTGAACGTTCCAGCCGCTCAGCTCCAGTGCCTCCAAACACAGCTCCTGACTAGCCTAAGAGCAAGAACAGCTTATATTACACTCATTCCACATCAACAAACATGCTGAACATGTAAGGCAGAAGCTTACTACTTCACAGGGGACATACATTTGAGAGGAAAGAAACGGCCACTAGCGCTTTCTCTTTTTCTTTTTTATTAGATAATTATTTTCTGATACAACTATTTTATTAGTTGGTAAAAGACGGTATGTCGTATAAAATACATTTTAGTTACATTTAAAACGTTGTAAAGGGAATATATATTTTCAAATTATGAAATTCAATAGTGGCTTCGTTTATTGCTCCCAAGTATATAATTAAACTACCAAAACAAAGTTTGGATCAAACAATATAGGGGTCATACAGTTCAACTAAAAAATGACTTCAGTCAAACAGGAGATACAGTAAGAAGATATACAGTAAAATGAAATTAACTTAAGTATAGTGAGTATTTAATTTTTTGTTGTCAATAAATAATTATTGTTTTTTTACTTCACCAGTAGTATAATAACAATATCTATGTCTCATGTCCATAGATAGGATGAACTTAAAATTATAGATCATATATAGTCTTTGTTAATGTAATATGCACACTGAATGAGAGGTATAGGGCGCTTAGCTTAGTTTAAATTGAATATGAATATGAAAATTATGCTTTTCGCAGTTTTCATCAAGATAAGTACGGATTAATCTTAAGATAATTCGCAAGATAGTTGTAAGATTTAGGAAAATACCAAACAAAAATAAGTAAAACATTCCACCTATTCATAATTTCAGTAGACATTCAACGCATGCAAAACAGAATAGGACGTAAAAATGTAGTACCAATCATTAGTATATAAATTAGTTAGGAGTTAATGACTAAAAAATGCATGCAAAACGCGTATCAGAAAAATCAAAATGGCTACTAATTAAAGAAAATGTCATCTCAATCTATCCAGGCCTTATAAAAAGACTAACGATACAGTCAAACCAAGTTATCTGGTATGCAGGTAAGGAAATATAGACTGATACAGTACAGTGACAATATCCATTGGTTGGTTACTGAACCGAACCATAGTAACAAAAATATATGGCTTCATAAACCAGCATACATCTACCATAAAAAGTAGTTCATGTCTCAGTACTGAAACAATATTTATTGTCATACCTGCTTACTAAATAATTTGACCAACTGCACACACTACAACGACATTAAACTGCCTAGATGCCCAAAATTTGAAAAAAATAAAGGCAATACATTTAGTTTAGCAACTATGTTAATATTCGGACTTACGATTTTGGTGACAATTAATATTATTAGGTTATACAACTACATGGCGCAGTTTAGTAAACACGTAAACTTTAATGCTACATATTTTGTTTTATTCACTCTTTCAAACAGAAAATTATTCAGTATTAGAATCACATTGCTAGTAAATTTTGTCAGTTCGTGAATTTCCTGTATCAAAACATTCGGGCCGGGAATGGGCCGGCTCGAACGGAGTAATACCACGGCCTCACAAAAAACGACACGAAGTGAAACAACTTGCGTTGTGTTTCGTCGTGTGAGTAAGGCCCGGAGGCTCAATTACCCCGCTCCCCTTGTCTCAATTTCTCCACTCACTTTGAGCGGACGACGCCAATTATTTACTATCAGGGTGCTCTTGAAACCAATCTCAATGTCAATGCAATTTCAATCCAATAAAATCTCAATAAGTATGCAATGTCAAAACTATACAACCCCAATCGTAGCTGCTAAAGTAGCATTTAGAGTACGGAATATAAAACCAAACTTAATACCATTTAGTTCATTAAATACCCACGCAATACAAATGCAAAAGGCGCTAGTGGTACAACTCAAGAGTACGAAATTTCACAATGTCAATGTCGATCGATCGGAATTGGATTCAAGAGTAAGCACCCAGGTGATCCGTCTGTTCGTTTAGCGGCTGATCCCATAAAAAAATCCCGCAATTAAAATCGTTCCTTTACATTTTGATTAATTTAAAACAATGATATCATCCTTAACTTTAACCTTAAGGATGGTATCATTGTTTTACAAAGTGGCAATAGTTGGTGGCAGTGTACTGCTCTATTAAACTAAAATTAATATGGTATTAAATCTATAAACATTAGACCCCCACAATGTCTTCCGTTTTTGTATATACATACTCATAACAAACAATAGTGGGTAACCGTTTTGAGCCCACCAAATGTTGTTAATCTAGCCAGAGATCATTATGGCCAATCAATACAGCTGTTAAAGATTAAACGTCTAGTCGTGTGACACTAATTGTCTATTGGACGAAGAGACAAGAGGTACACAGTGGCACTATCTAGTGAGCAAAACCGGTATACCCCCTTATAATATTATAAATAATCGTTCCAACCTTTTCTCATTTAAACTCACCATAACTGATTGGGTTTCTAAAAGGAAATTTTACATGGACGAGCTTGAAGCTATCAAAAGTGTTTGCTTAAGTTTTTGTGAAAGCCTGACTGTACACAAAGTTTCTGTAAGTCCATGTGAAAATCTGTATTATATATTGTTTTGTGTTTGGTTTATTTTATTGTGATGTTCATTTTTATTTGTATTCTATTATGTAATGTAACTATTGCATATATTTTTGTGAGTGTTAATATAATTGGTTCAAAACAGTGTTAACAGTGAATAAATAAATGTTATGAGATTAGTATTTTAAACAACTGAAACCAACTTTAATTTCAACAATATGAGTTAATGATTTTGTTAATTGCCTTTAAACTACATGCATAACTCTAATTGGCTATTAGAAATATTAGTTTAAAGTGAATATCAAGCATCAACCGTGTGAACTATTAATAAAATGGAAAAAAACTCGAGGAAGATAAATATTCTTATCGTGTAGACGAAGTTGTTGGCAGAAGTTAATATATTTTTCACTAAACGCCAAAGTATTAAATAAAAGTTTTTAGAATACACTTACAAACATGAATTTAGCTCACTATATAGTCAGAATTGTAATTAGATTCCAGATTTGACAATAGCTACTGTCATTTTGTGAAATAATGATACCACATATATTAGTGTAGTGATGATCACAAAAATCGATAAACAATCAGTGTGTGTGTTTTATAATAAATGTTACAGAAAGTGACAGGATAGCGATAGCGATGACGGCGACAATTTATAAAATAACTTATTACCATAATACATCTATCTGTTTTATTTGTAATGTTCCTTCATGATTACATTTTTTTATTTATTTCACACACAATTATAAAAGAAAAGTCTCAGATCGTTAATTAATCGTCAAAACTAAATTATCGGTTCAGAAATATTTAATTTCCTGATATACTAAGTTTACGGCAGTAAAATTATAAACGAGAAGAATCGATCGAGAAATATTGCATTTCCATATCGCATAATTTCGCAACGTCACTATTTAGTACTTGTCATAACGTTGTAACACTGAAATTGTCAAATCTGGAATCGAATTAAAATTTTGAGTATAGGATATTTTATATTATTGTCTAAAATTACTGGACTAATTGTGACTATAATGTTTACCCGAAAGAAATACAAAGGAAACGTCACGAGGGAATGTGGTAATTATCACCCATGCGAAGCATGCCTCGCTAGTATGCTAATCACACTCAAAAAATCTCCTTGATTACACTTTTTATACGTACGAGTAATCATTAAAATATGATTTCAATATAGCTGTTTATGTTAAGTTTATGTCAAATAAATTGGTTTCAATTTTTGGTTAATATTAGCAATAGTTTTTCATATCAGTGTCATAGATGTTAATGTTAGAGTAAATACATATTTACATACTTAACTCGAATTCATAAAATAAAATAACTGTATAAACATGCAAATTGAGTTCATAATCAATTTAATAAAATAAAATGTTCTTACCTCGTCTTTGAGTACTTTGCTCATGATCCGAACTTCATCGGACTCCACCCCGCGTTGTCGGCCACACGGCTTCTGGTCTGCGAACTCTAGCAGATCCTCGACCGAGACGTGATCTTTACTTTCTGAAAGTATACCTACATTTGAATTTTTATATGTACATAACATAAGTAAGATTGTGACACAATAATGCCTCGTGAATCGAACACTACAAAGAGATTGGAAATTGATTTATGAACTTCAACTTAAATAATTCTCAGTAGTGAGAATCCGAAGTGGCACGCCTTACTTCAATTACAAGGACTTACAAACATAACTGATAAAAAGTTGGTTTAATTCTGTGTATATGGAGATACAATGAGGGGTTAAAATGTTAATTGAATAAGATGTTACCTTTAGCTAATTTAGTATGGGTCTCTTCCTCGCTGTCCGTATCACTTCCCACATTAAGCTCCAGTTGGGTGTCGTCGTCCTCATTTTTTAGATATATTCCAAACGGATTGGCACCGCTTGGGCCAGGGGCGTTTAAAAAAGGGTTTGTGTCTTTGTGGCCATCCACAACGTCTTCGGATTTTATTTCGTCAGATGTTGTGGTGTCTTTCGATTGAGATTTAGTATTCTGATAAATATTAATCTGTTTTGTATGCGGTACAGTCACAGGCTTCGGCTCGTCAACCAATTTTAGAGGATACTTGCGCACGTGTCGTGGCCGATCTACTAACTTTGGCTTAGTTGTGCGCGGAGGCAGAGGCAATACATTCTGAGTAAAATAAAAAAAGAAATGATTAGAAAAAAAATTCAATAACTTTGTACAAACTATCAATAAAGTTTCATAAGTTTCAAACTTACAAATGCGGTATCCTCTGGGTGCCGTTCGCCAATGGGGGATCTGGAATGTTAATAATTTTACACAGAATTTTACAAAGATAGGGAAAGTTGAGGTATAATATTTGGCAACAACAAATTACCTGGTATGGTGCGGAGAGCCAACAGTTCGGCTGTTGAACTGTACGATTGTAGTCCGGGTGGGCTTTGGGATCGTTGCCGACTTTAAGATTCCGCCGGTCTCTTTAGCGATCTGTGTCATCAGAGACGTTGATGGAGTTGGTTCTTCAATCAAGCTGGTATACGCTAACTTCGACTCCTCGGTCAAGGTGGCCTGCAATTACAAACGAAATAATTTAACAAATGAAAAATTAACTAGAAAAATGTTGAAAGTGGAGTGGTCAAATAGTTGCTATTACAACTGTTAAGCAATGTTCGATTAGATAAAAAGTTCAAGCTTAGGCTACATTACTTTTGTACGAAATAATAACATTAACAGTATCTATTGTATTGGTGATTCTCACTCAGTAATAGCAGACTCTTGGAAGTATAGAAGTACTGCCCAGTGCATACATACAGGTTCACCCTCTGTTATATGGATCTTAAAATTATTATTACAAATGATGAAAAGTGGCAGTTGTCAGTTCACACCAGCCTGCCCTTTCGACGATTAAAAGGCTTGCTTGCTTATTTGAAACAATAGGAATTTTGTAAAAGTCGATCAGCGTTAAAATCTTAAATTAATTAAAAACATAATATACGTACTGCTAAATCGGGAACGCTCTTGGCCTCTTCGCTGAAATTTCTGCGCGGGTTGTAACCTATAAAAAATAAACGTTCACATTATAACATGTATAATATTTGTACTGGAGCCAAGTAACATAATCCATAACGATTTTTAAAAAATGTTTCCTAACATCACGTTTCTACTAGGTGATGCTCAACATGTTTGTTTTGTTTTGGTGAAATCATGATCTGGGTAGAGGCAACACGACGCGCGTTATATTGAAACGGAACAAGTTGAGTAAATTACGGATTACATGGCTATGGCCAGCGCCTTAAATAGGGCGGTGCCAGCGGTGCCCAGGCACAGGGCGCAGGCACTGGAGGGGCGCAGAAATGACCAGACAGTACTATCGAAATCTGTATCGCATTTTTAAACGATCTTGAATCAACAACACATTTCAAACGACTATACACATCAGACAAATGTATATTCACCTTAAGTCTTGTTCGCAATATTACATACACAAACAAAAGTACCTATACTATAATTTTGGGCGTCGGCGCCCCCGCCGGCGCGGACCCTGGTTGCGCCGGCGGCGTCTGTGCCCGCGGCGCCTGCGCCCACGGGGCGAAACAAAAAAAGGAAAGGCACTCCATCCCGGATGACTGGAGTTGCAGCAGCGGCGGTGGAACCCGCACCGCGAGCGGAGGATGGCGGTGAGTGGCAAATCGCTGGTGAGGCGAGGAGAGTCGCCAAGGAGGGCCGTAAGCGCCGCAAGAAGGCGCAGCCAAGAACACCGCTCCAGGACCCGACGGCTTGCATGGCAAAGCATCGGTCCTGGTCTCAGAGGCTCTCGGGGATCGATTAATCGGTCTCTACAGCGGATGCTTGGAGAGAGGCCAGTTCCCGCTGCTCTGGAAAGCAGGTAAACTGGTCCTTGCGGAAGACGGGGCGCCCTGCGGACTCTCCGTCCGCGTACCGGCCCATAGTGCTGCTCGGGGGAAAGAATAATTTCGAGGAAAGAATAATAAAGTCTTCCAAAGAATAATTTCGAACCGCCTTGTCGCGCACTTGACGAACATTGGGCCAGACCTGTCGGACGGCCAGTTCGGCTTCCGCAGAGGGCGCTCCACGGTGTACGCCATCATGCGCGTTAGGGACCGGACGACGGGGACTGCAGTGTCCAGGAGTAAGATTGTTGTGGCGGTGTCTCTGGATATCGCCAACGCCTTCAACTCCTTGCTCTGGAGCTGCATCTTGGAGGTACTCCGATATCATCGGGTGCCTACCTACCTCCGTCGTGTAATCGAGGCTTACCTGACGGACAGGTCCGTCATTTACCCCGGTCACCGGGGCGAGTGGAACCGGCGCAAGATGTCACAGAGGTGTTCCACAGGGTTCGGTTCTGGAGCCGCTCCTGTGGAACATAGGCTATGACTGAGTGCTGCGCACCGACCTCTCGAACGGCGTTAGCATTATATGCTACGCCGACGACTCGCTGGTGCCAGCGCATGGGAGGTCGCACCAGGCGGCGGCCGACTTAATGGCGACAGCGGTTGCGACAGTTGTTGAGAAAATCCGGCAATTGGGAGTGGAGGTGGCGCTCCACATATCCGAGGTTATGTGTTTTCATGCCCGCGGGAACGCGCCACCTCCGGGTGGGTCCTAAATAACGGCGGGAGAGGTTACCATCGGCATCGAGACGATGATGAAGAACCTGGGACTCGTCCTCGACAGACGGTGGAACTTCGTGGAGCACTTCCGACGTTTGGTGTCAAAGTTGGAGAGGACGGGGGCTGCGTTTAAGTGCATCCTCCCCAACATCGGGGGGCTAAACGCCTCCTGCCGGAGGTTATACGCCGGGGTCGTGCGCTCCATGGCCCTCTACGGCGTCCCTGCGTGGGCGCCGAATCTGATGCGGCGGCTCGCTCAGGCGCTGCTCTTGTCACGGAGGGTCATGGCGATCCGAATGATCCGCGGATAATACACGATCTCCGGAAAGGCGGCGAACCTCTTTTCCGGATTACCGCCGTGAGATCTGAAGGCGAAGGTGCTCGCGCGCGTGTATCGCATGCGCGCAGAGGCACGTCGCCGAGGCGAAATTCCGCCGCCGCGCCAGATAAGTGCGTGGTGGGAAGAGCTCCGGCGCGATCTCATGGCGGACCGCGGACTGGCAGCAACGAACTGTCTTAAAACATCTACTAAGTACCGACCTATATCTTGGTAAACAATAAACAGTTATATTTTCATGCACATTTGTCGTTTTATTGTCAGAGCCTTGTAAGGACAATTTTCAAGGGCGCAGTTTTGAAAGCTCGCACCGGGCGCCTATAAGGCTAGTTACAGCACTGGCTATGGCATGGCATGATTCGACATGAATATACAACGGCCTCTCAGAATACCGACGTGAAACAACGTTGTTTCGTCGTGTGAATGAGGGCCTCCGGTTGGCCCAATTACCCCTCTTCTTTGATCTCAACTCTCGAATACTTAACAATCCTCAGAAGCTGTTATAATCCTCAAATTCGTAATCCCCAAAAGGCATTACCACTTGTAACGCACTGATAACACCTCTGATGTTTTCCATACGCGGCGCCGATTGCTTACCACCAGGTGATCCGTCTGCTCTTTATTATCAAATTACTAATTTGAAGATAATCGATAGGTAACTAGGTGTCTAAAATAAAAAAAAAAATAGGTAACAGATATCCTACAAGCAAACAATTCTAACATATTACAAATCCTGTGTGGTGTACGGACAACCGTACCTTTGGTTTACTTGGTCTTTCTATCTTTTGTACTTCTTTTCGTGTCATGCTTTACTTAATCTAGTAACTTACCCCATTTCCATAATGTAGAATACTGTAAGACCTATAGCAGCCGCAAAACTACATACAACAGATACTAACATAGTAGTATATACTACTGAGGAGCATACTACACTAGAATTAGCGCTTAAGAATACAACACTGCTAACCATCAAACCAGATTGACACAGAAATTATGACTAGTCATCCCCTTTTCGTCTAAGATAGTACAATAAATCTGCAGAAAATATTCTGCCTCTTCAAATAAAAGGTTTGATGTATGTCATATTAACTGTTTCACAATGTACCAGTATTGGTTTGATAGGCATAAAAGCTTCAAAAATATGTAAGGAGCATTTCAATGAACCGAGAACAATAACTAAGGAGAAATAAAACGCAAAAACATATTGTAACTACCTATGATGTAAATACCTATGAATGTGGAATAATTTAATTATCCATATTCAGAGATGGCAGACAACTTCATGCCTAATTACTTCTACATATGATTCAAATTCTCCAACGCAAGATATACAAAATTCTATTATCAAAGGAAACATCTATTGCTCGGAAAAACTATCGAGCTAATCGAAAAAGAAAACGCTTCTGAAACTCACCATGTTCGCGAATTAAAATAACGCAGCGGTAATAAATAAATATAGAAAAGTGGTTTATAGAATTTTGCAAAAAAAAATTAACCATTTAAAATTTTGAAACTTACAACAAGAGTATTGTGCCAATTGTATCAATAAATAAGAATAAGAACATTGAATAACAAAGCTACAGAAATATATCGAGGAAGAAATATATTAGTCATGAACAAGTTTAGAACTGGGAACTTCTGCGGTACTGGGGACTTGTTCAATAACTATTACCTATTTATATATAGCTTGCACAAATTTATTGAAAGTGGCTCTAAAGCTAATTGCAAGGGCCACGATATTATGATATAATATTCTGTAACAACTGTAACTTGTAACTTCACTTCTATCTAGTCACCTAATCAAATAAAGTGGACGTTACATGTATGTTTAGTTCTTTGGAATAGGGTAGTTTCCTACATTTTATTTTAATGTCCGTCTGGTAGATTAATTTAAAACATTAGTCACGTTTATTTTATTTACTCAAAAAATTAAATACGGGGAACTAGCAAAGTTTTAAGATATCGTTAAACTACTCAAAGTACATAGGTATTTTTTTTATCGACAATAGTACATCTCATCAGTAGTGGGTAGCAGGTTAAAAAAGTTCAACCTACCTACATTATTTTTTTGTGAATTTTTATTTCAATCGAGATGTCAGAGTTATCGCGTCGAGATTTTGGAGCAATAATGTTCTATAATTTCAAGCGAGGTTTGAGTGCTGATGATTGTGTCGGTGAATTAAAATTTGTATTTAATGACAAAAGCACCATCTCGTAGCTCAGTGTACCGGTAGTATAAACAGTTCTAAAGAGAAAATTTTAACTTGTCCGACGAATCTCGGCCCGGGCGGCCTGTTGAAGCGGTATCCCCAGAAAATGTAGCTGCAGTTCAGAAACTATTTGAGATAGACAGACATGAACTAATAAACAAATAGAAGTACTCCTGAAAATTAGTGCACCATCAGCTCATACCATTAAAGAGTTAGAAAAATTTGCACATTGTGGGTACCCCACCTTTTAACAGAGGTCCAAATGGAGTGTCGTAAGAAGTGGTCTCAAAAAATTCTCACCAAGTTCGACGGCGGAAAATCTTCTGGTGCGAATTCAATAGTAACAGGTGACGAATCTTGGCTGTATTATTATAACGTGAAATCTAAATAAAAAAACAAGGTATGGCTCTTTGAAAATGAGGAACAGCCGACAACCGTCAAACAATCACGATCTGTAAAAAAGAAAATGTCGTGGTCTTCTTCGGCAAAAGGGGTATTATAAAACGAATTACTCTTGATGAATAGAAGATCGTTACAGAAAAATGGTACACCGAAATTTGTTTGCCTCAATTAATTGAATCTTTAAAAAAAAATCGGCCAAACTCGCGCCTTGACGCCTCCTTACAGTCCTGACCTTGCTTCCTGTGACTTTGGCCTATTCCCAATGATATATATATACGTTTTTGAATGATGACTAGTTAACTCAAGCTTGGGACTCGGCGTGTGATGAAGTCCCTGAAGAAACATGGAAGAAAAATTTTGATGATTGGTTTCGGCGTATGAAGAAGTGTATCAAAAGCCAACGGAAATTATTTCGAAAAAATATAAAGTAAAGTTGCCAAATCTCAAAACTTATCTAGTGGCCTACGTACTTTCGATGATATATTAATTTGAAATATCGTCACAGCGTGCTACATTTTGTAGCACCCTGTGACGTAACGACCTTCCACTCCTAAATTTCAGGCTATTTTATCAAGTATTGTAACTTTATACGAGAAAATAAAAAATACATGTCTATTATTTGGTCATTATCTAACTGACGGACTAATTAGATTTTTAATTTTCCTACCCTGGCAACTACCCTATTCAATAAAATGATACTATTGAAATTTTGTTAGAAATAAAATCAATGTTATTTGTTGGATGAATGCGAATGAAATAAATGTATCGAGAAATGTGTTTATTGCCGTTGAAACATTGGTGGTATGATACGATTACAAAAGCCAACATCGATCATTTTCTACGGACACATTCATCTAATAGGAGTGGTGAGCGAACAAACATACTATAGCAAATATTATATATATGATGATTATAACAATTTTGACTTCAGATTAGGAATGAATAAGTTGTTAAACAAAATAGTCATTAAACAATAAACAATGTTTAATATAACAATGTCCTTCAACAACCATTCATATCCAATTCAATAATTCAATTTCCTTGAAAAATAAAAGTTTTATTGGCCAATTCGAAATAATTATAATGCATTTCCAATGAAATGATTGAGCCAGCCCACGAGACACGATATAAAACAGATCTCTATGTTTTAACGACTTACCGCAGAATATCAAGGCTTTTACGCCATCCTTCAAGATTTGGACTGCAATTTACAAGATGTATTTAAACAAGATCGTCCAACTATAAAAAAATCATTTCAAATGTGTACTTATACATTTTATCAATATAAATTAATAACGAAACGAGGAAATAAATCAAGAAACGCGATAATTAACTAACTCAAGTCAATTTTTTAAGACGCCAAAAGGTATTTTTTGTAACTAGCTTATTTTCACTTGTTATTTATTTACTGTCACATTAATCAATACATTTTGAGTTAATTTTTCCATGTTTCGTATTCATAGTATGCCACTTGAGACGGAGAAGAATATCGGAAAGAGTTAGAAAGAAGAAAGAAAGAAAGAAAGAAAAACCATTTATTTTTGCGCAAAAAGCACACAACATAATTAAAAAATAAATAAGACAGTTACAGACTTAATTTACATGAACATTAAGAAAAACGGGCCAGAATGTCTACGTATGCATATAACTCTTGAAATGGCTACACAGCATTAGATAAAAATCTTAAGTGTTAAAAAATGAGAACACCGGAAAATTTGTGCGAGCAATGCTGAGTGGACCTCTGACATAAAACAAAATCAAGCCAACTTACTGATAATACCTAAAAAAGCAAGAACCAGTTCAGAAGAAACTATCAATCAGTTTCGACAAGTCAAGTATTACCATTAATCGGAAGCAGTAAAGAACTTGCCGATGATGTACCAGCGGACACAAGTACGGCCCAAAATAGCGACCAGCTGCAGAGAAACGAGCTGGAACATCCATGAAATTATCTGTGATCCCAAAACGTTTCCCAAATATGGAGATAATGGCTAGCCCACTTGTCGAACGCAAGATTTGTTTGCAGGTAAAGTATACTGGCGGAAGACATCTTTTGCCGTCATTTCGCGACTCCAGTTCGAGAAGACTAATGTATTATTTATAATATCATTACCTGTTGATTGTTCTCTCTCAGGGTCATGAGCGTGAGCACTGTGGTGACCAGATCGCCCAAAACGGAAGTGGAATTTTCGCTCGCTAGGTGACTGTGGGTTTTTCTCTTCCAAGTCGTTCATGGACCTATAGAAACAATTTATAGTCAATTTGAAGTTATGTTATATTATTATACCACACATTTAAACATTATCCAAGTCATATCCAGTCCATTTTAGTGCATATTATCAGATTATATTATTTACCGAATCTTTAATACCCTAGCTATATTTAAGGGTCGATACGTTGATATATCGTACCGTTAATTTAAACAAAGTAGTATCTAAACATCGGAAATAAGGTTATTAATGGAGTTGGTGGAGAGAGGTCACCGGTGACCACTTGGGGATTGAACAGTTAAAAAAGTTTCGCTTAATTAGGGATGTCGATATGTTGTAGTTATTTTTTTAACGTTGCCCCACACTAGTATTTCATCTTATGATCTTGTTAACGCAATACTAGTGTACATAATGATACAGATTTACAAACACATCACACCCGGAATAGATTAAATTGAACAAATTCGCAACCAGTCGCTTAGTAGCCAATTGACGTGCCATTGCGCCAAGCGCGCAGCTAATGTGTAAAATATAATATTAGATTTTTAAAAAGCGTTGTTAGTTCATAAAAAAACTTATGAAGCGTTTTTCTATAGTTTAATTAATTAAGTACCTGTACAAGTTATATATAGACAAGATACTTACTTCGATGTTATTTCATTTGCCAACGCAATGGCCGTATCTAGGTTTCTCTCGTCGTGAGCCGACATCGGTTTCATCGTAGTAGTAGAGAATCCTTTCTTGCGTTCGCTTTTAGTGAGTGTATGTGGTCTGTAAAACAAAACATATTTCTTTATTTACTACTGCTTACATAACTAATACACAAGTTGTTACATCGTTTATATAATAAACAAACGCTTTTACACTATACTCATACATATTCGTTAATTTTTTTAACGGTATTTACAAATTCATATGAAATATTGTTGAGCAGTTGTATACAGCGCCATCTATTGGCATATTTACCAAATATCTTTGAAAGAGTTTTAGCATTGTTATAGAATGTATAGTTGAAGTTTAAACATACAATAATAGAACGAATATACTTTTACAGGAACGTAATTATAGGTGACCAAATAGTTTCTAAATTAGTAAGTATTTAATATCATTCAAATGCCTTCTGACCAACATCTTGTACCTATTGTTTTATCATGTGAAAGTGATATACAGTTTAAATAAAAACTTATAGTAAAACAGCGGCAAATATTTCTATTATACTTAAAAAATTGGAATTCAAATACATATAAATCATTATTATTTAGTATAATATACCGATTAAGTACATACTCGTCTTGACTTTCGTCCTCCGAAGTAGTGGACGACGTCCTTTAGAGCAGCGTCCAACAAAAATGAGAGTTAACAACTTTGATATAGAGTTCAAATTAAAAACTGTGTTAAGTAATAAGGGTTTTAACATTACTTAATTATATTCGAACAGCAATAATATACATTATAGTATTGGGACGTTTTCTCTGCCAAAAACTAACCGACTTATTTATTTATAGTTTATTGCACACACATAGAAACTTATTAGTTACTCTATAAGTGCAATAAGCGGTCTTAGCACTCAAGGCAAATATGATCTATAAATATGAATTAATTAACCACAGATCTTAATCTATTTGTACGTATATGTTTTTAGCAAAATATAAGTCACAATCCACGGAAAATTATCGTTGTAAAAAAGAGATAAAAATTTATTTTGACAATTTGGAAACATCCCAATTATGTAGATATAGCTTATTTAATTTAAAAACACGTACGGACTTAAAAGCCTTTGATTTTCCCTTAGACGAGAGCTGCATGTAAAAAAAAAATACAATTTGAGCCATTTAGTCTTTACGCACAATTATTGAAAGGCTACCTAATTTAAAAGGCGCTTAGGTTTGGTTCTGTCACAAAAAATCTTTATAAAATGACAGACACAGCAAGATATTTAAGTACAATTTAAAATTGAGTAGCTTTTCACCATTTGGGCAATAGTCTATTAACTATACCACACACAGTAGTAGCACGGAGTCTGGAATTGTGCCCGGTATATGGCAATAAGATCACCCCCTATTACATGGGACTCATAGAAAAATGGGTGAAAAATGGGTGTTACGTTGTACAGTGGCATAATGTGCACCTCTGCCTACCAATTCGGGTATAAAAGGCGTGATGTTATGATGTTATGTTTATGGCTTATATAAACATAACATAACGTTCCACTTCATCAAGTGTCTATAAAAGTTTAGGTGGAGATATTATCTTTATATATATCATTAAAGATAGGTTATCTTTAAAAAGGTAAAGTGCTCTTCTTGTCACTTATTCTATAGCAATCATAAAATTTAATATACAGGGTGATTTGTTATTAGAGCAAAATCGTATACAGGTACATAATATTGAGAGTTGAGACATTTCAGTCAAAACCAATAGGGCAGGGAAAAAATCTTTATGAAATCATAGGCATGACAAACATAGGAAAACAACACTTATGTGAGAGGTTTACATACGTAGCGCCTTGCGACGTGGACGGTTCCTGGTGGTCCATGTGGGAACTGTTTCAAACAAAATAAATATCAATATGTAACCATATTGTATCTAAATAACTAATTACTTTATTTCTTTTTTTACCTCGGACGCTGCATTTCTGTTTCAGAAACAGATCTGGAACGTCGGCTACGTGCACTGGCCATAAAAAATAGACACATTTGTTATTGTCTATCACACTATTTGAATTAAGAACTATCATAACAGCCAAACTATTCAATCCAAAGCGCTAACAAATAAAGCATCTATTTTTAACATTCGAGTCCAACAAAGGATGCAGGTAAAAAATGTGTTCTGTTTTTAAAATTCAAATTGCACAAGAATTTTACTCAAGAATGTTGCATGTTTGCACTCAAGCTATGTCAAGCATTAATAAATGAGTGCAAACGGGATATAAATTTTCAGAAATAGAATAATAGAAAACTATACAACCTTTGTTAATGCTCAGTTATCACATGTGAAATGGGCCACGCCCATTACATAATTTATTTTACAACTTTTGATACGACCAAGCTGTTTTATGAGCATGATAAGTGTATTTTCTTCTTCTGTTGTCCATTGGACAGCACGTCAACGTCGGTCAAATTTCTGTATTTAATTTCCTACTTTATAGTCTTGATATGACGTCGGTTACCCAATGAAAAAATTACACATTGGATTAAGTTGACGACTATGACATTCACTTAGAAACAAAGGCTGTAATATTACAATAGAAATAATATACTCAAATGTCACTTACTCATAGATTGTACGGAATACATTGTAAATTATTTCACCTTTCATGTTAGAACTTGGCAGGAGGATAGAGTAATAGTTGTAGTAGAGAGTAGCTAAACATCAATTACCCAATAGCGCAGAAACAGAAGTACGGAAACCCGCGGGGTTTAAGCTCTAATCATTTTATCAGCGAACGAAAAAACATATAAAATAAAAAAGTTAAATTACATTAACAATTAAATATACATTCACATCAATGCCAAAACTACACCATCTAGGGACAGCCCTTTAACAAAAAATAGAGTATCAATGCTTAGAATATAAAATAATAAAAACACACAGCCAACGCCTTGTTCGATCCAAAATTATACATTTATTGCGTAAAAATATAAAAAAATAAATACACCAATAGCATTACAACAGTGATGCATAACGCACATATCAAAAAATGTGGTTTCTCTTAAAATTATCTCAGAAACAGTTCCAAAATGTTTATATTACAGCGCATTTTTCGACTAGACACTTATTTAATAACATTTTGATCAAGAAAAGTATGTTGCAATACTTTGCTTGGTCAGGCACATTCATTCAGGAGTTACATACGGTCTTTCCTCGTCCGGGATAAGTTGGTATCTTCGAAATCTTTGCATGGAATCAAAATATACGAGAAAGTTTTAATGTAGGAACACAATACCGTGGCATGGCATGTCGTGGCACCGTGGCCACCAATCGGCTGCAAGTATTTGGAAACCCACGCGACACGAGGACATAAATAAGACATAGGTATGCCTCTAACCATAGTAAATGTCATCATCATCGTCATCAAGGGCCTATAAATGCCCACTGTTGATCTGAAGCCTTTTCCCACACAGAGAATATTTGAGCATTAGTCACCACGCTGGCTGTCACCACGATTTCAAACTTATAATTAGAAATTGCAAGCCTAAGCAGGCTTTCATTGGAACTTCATTGAACACTTCCGACGTTTGGCTCCAAAGTTGGCGAGGACGGGGGCTGCATTTAAACGCATCCTCCCCAACCTCGGGGGGCCAAACGCCTCCTGCCGGAGGTTATACGCCGGGGTCGTGCGGTCCATGGCCCTCTACGGCGCCCCTGTTTGGGCGCCAAACCTGTTGCGGCGTCCCGCTCGGACGCTGCTCATGGCACAGAGGGTCATGGCGATCCGAATGATCCGCGGATACCGCACGATCTCTGGGGAGTCGGCGAACCTCCTTGCCGGATTACCGCCGTGGGATCTGGAGGCGAAGGTGCTCGCGCGCGTGTACAGCATGCGCGCGGAGGCACGTCGCCGGGGCGAAACCCCGCTGCCGCGCCAGATAGGTGCGTGGCGGGATGAGCTCCGGCGCGATCTCATGGCGGAATGGCAGCAACGACTGTCGCAACCGAGGGCTGGGCTCGCTGCCATCGCAGCGGTAAGTCCCCTCTTTGAGGAGTGGCTTGAGAGACGCTACGGCGTCCTCACCTACCGCCTGACGCAGGTCCTCACCGGACATGGAAGTTTCGGGAGGTACCTGTGTCTGATGGGGCGGGAGGAAACGCCCGGGTGTCATCACTGCGAGGACCGCCCTGAGGACACGGTGGAACACACGGTGGGAGAATGCCCTTCGTGGGCTGAGCACCGCCGTGTCCTCAGGGAAGTGATCGGCGATGGCGACCTCTCGCGTCCGGGCCTAGTGCAGGCCATGATGCGGAGCGAGGGGGATTGGGATGCCGTCTCCTCCTTTTGCGAAGCAGTCATGCTAGCTAAGGAGGAGGCGGGACGCGTGAGGCAGCGAAGCGCTGCCTCCTCGCAACCCAGCCATCGCGAAGGACACACCGGGCGTCGGGGATCGCGGGACGATCTCCGGCCACCGTAAGCGCGGGCCTGCGGACGGCGAGCATGGGTGGCTCCCCGTCCGACCAGAAACAGACCCGAGCGTACGGCGCGTCGCGTTCCGCGCGCGCCTCAAAGAGCCATCAGACCACCACAGATGGGGCCCAATAGGGCCGATGCCGATTCGGAGTCGCGGAGAACCTAACGGGTAACCGGGGCTCCGGCTCGACGTGCAGGAGAAGGAACGGGGTGGTTTTTAGTCAGTAAGAGTCTGACACTCCCTCCCGCCTCACCCAGGCGGGGGCAGTCATTCGATGATTTTCCCCCCTTAAAAAAAAAAAAAAAAAAAGCAGGCTTTCATACGATATTTTCCTTCACAGTTGGGTAGTGGTGTCTTTGTCTAGTATCTTAGATTTTTTTTTTTAATGGGACAAACCCGCCACATCCTCCCAAAACCGCTGCAACTCCTGTAAGCCAGGATCTACAGTAGATACAACCATGAAAACACCAGAACACTGAAGTCCGGCGAGTCCCAGGGACATGAGTAACTGTCTTGGTTCCCGCAACGAAGTGAATCAGAAGTTATAATAAGAGGAGCAGAAGAAAAAACTATGGTAGGTAGGTACTAGTATCTTAGAATCTCGAAATAAGTCACATTGGTACTTGGCGTTGGTAGATTTCGAACCCTTTACATGTAAAGTTAGCCAAGCCAAGTATTAAACCTCCCCCGGCCACCATAACACAGTAAATTTACGAGACCTACATAGGCGCCAAAGATGGCGCCACGACACACTGTGCCACGATTATGTGATTTCCGTCTTAAGCAATTGAGATGGTCGGTATATAAATCGTTACAAAAAATGTTTATCGAGATACTTACGGTCGCATATGGTCAGTTATACCAGAGCTGCTTGCAACAAAGAATATTATTTAACTTTAGTTCAAGTCTTTTATAGGTATCGATGTTTCGTAGGAAACGAAGGCATTTGACCACGGCACCACTCCAACCCAGTTATTATTTTGTCATTCAAATTTGAACATTAAATCTTATGTCGTATGACATACCTATATATCCAGTATTACCTTTAAACGAGCAATTCTTGTATATTAGGGCTTTACCTATGAAATTATCGTTATGTATGAAAAAATTAAACTATTTTTTATCATGTATTTTTTATTTGTATTAATCGAAATGATCACCCATGCAATCAATGCATCTTTGACGACGCAGTGGCAGTTAATTGATGGCATTCTTAAAGAAATCAGCTGAACCGGAGGCAAAAAATTCTTCAAACGCAAAAGAATCGTTTCCGATACATCGACTTCCTTGAAATTTTGTGTTAAACGGGTTTCGGGGGCGATAAATTGATCTATCTAGGTTCGAATCTACATAGTTAGGTTTGATTTTCATAAATGGTTGTGTTGTCCGTGTTTTTATTGAATAAAAACCTGTTTAATATTAGTGAATACAAAACTAAAATTCGTCAGCGTCAATAATGTTTCAATAGCTTAGTCGGAAAATCCTGTGCACAGGACTTTCGGAATCAATCCGCGGCCCCAACGTACATTCAGTCAAAAAAGTATCGGGAATGGATGATTTGTTTATAGTTCCAAATTCAAATTTTTGTTTTCCATTTTGGCGCAGAGGTTGAGTTGAATCTGTTATTTATATTAAATACAGTGCTGGGTTTAGTAATATCATATATAGCGTGTATTGCTAATTTCATAATGGACAAGAATATCGAACAAAGAGTTTATCTTAAATTTTGCATCGCCAATGGAATTTCATATTCGGAGTCACTGAAAATGTTACAGAAGGCTTACGGGGAATCGACTTTATCAAAAACTAGTGCTTGTGAGTGGTTCAAAGCGTTCAAAAGCGGTCGAGATGTGATGGAAGATTTGCCTCGCACTGGTAGGCCGTCAACGTCTGCAACTGAAGTTAACATCGCAAAAGTGAAGGAAATAGTGACTGAAAATCCTCATTCAACTCTGAGAGAGATAGCCGCTGAACTTTCTGTATCTCACGAGTCGATCCATACCATTTTTACTAATCATTTGGGTATGAAACATGTTGCTGCTCGGCTAGTCCCAAAAGATATGAATTTTCTCCAAAAACTCAATCGCATGACAGTCGCTGAGGACATGCTAGAACGAGTCAATTCGAATCCAAAATTCATGAAACGCATTGTTACTGGTGACGAGACGTGGGTTTACGAGTTTGACATGCAAACTAGTCAACAAGCTTCGGAGTGGCGCCTTCCAACTGAACCAAAACCGAAAAAACCACGCCAAGGTCGATCAAAGTCAAAGTCAAAGTCATGTTAACTGTTTTCTTTGACTATAGCGTTGTTGTGCACTCTGAATTCTTACCGGAAGGTCTAACGCTAAATAAAGAAAATTATTTGAGCGTTATGCAGCGTATAAGAGAGCAAATTCGACGAAAACGGATAGATTTGTGAAAAGAAAATTCTTGGATTTTGCACCACGACAATGCGCCTTAACACAAGGCTATCATTGTGAACGAATTTTTGACCAAACACTCAACAAATATCATCCAGCAACCCCCATATTCACCAGATATGGCTCCTGCTGACTCTTTTCATTTCCTAAACTCAAATTACCACTTCGTGGCACCAGTTTTCAACCGATAAAAGACATGGAGGAAAATTCGCGGCGATAACTGAACTCAATTCCGGAAGCAGCGTTTAAAAAAAGGTTTGGTGAATAGATTATTGTTGGCGCAAGTGTATCGTTTCTAAATGAGCATACTTTAAAGGTGATAAAATAAATTTGGATGAATAACAGACATTTTGTGTATTATTGATCTTTTCCCGGTACTTTCTTGACAGAGTAGTATCTTTATTTTTTCTGTTTTCTATTTTATCTTTTGTTCTATTTATTTCTATATTTTTTGTTTGTCTCAATGTACTAAAATTAACACCGAGCGAAGTTCGTTCATACAGGTACTATTTCATAGCATCAACGAACATGCTATAAGCACGAGGTCCGCAAACTGATAGCGCGGTTATCGCCATTTTGTATTATTATCAAAACAAATGTGTGCCATGGCCCTTAGCGAAAACTTACCTGTTCCATTATTAGTATTGCTATAATGAATAAATAAGAGATATTAAGAGTTTATATATTTACCTCGTACTGGGTTCTGGATGTCTAGATGGTGCACTCTGAAAATAAAAGAAAATAACATTACATTAGATTGATAATTTGATAACTAATTATACTCCTTTTAATTCCCAACTCCACCTAGAATCGTTGCAAGGATCCGGCAACTGGGACTCAAGATGGCGCTCCACAAGTCCGAGGCCATGTGTTTTCATAGCCGCGGGAATCGCCACCTCCGGGTGAGTTCCAAATAACGGTAGGAGAGTTTACCTTCGAGTCGAGACGATGACGAAGTACCTAGGACTGGATCTCGACAGTCGGTGGAACTTATCCATTAAGTTCTTCTGACGTTCGGCTCTTAAGTTGGAAAGGACGGGGGCGGCATTTATGCGCCTCCTATCCAACTTCGGGGGCCAAATGGCTCCTGTCGGAGGTTGTACGCGAGGAGCGTGCGGTGCATGGCCCTCTACGACGCCCCTGTACAGGCGCCGAATCTGATGTGGCGGCCTGCTCGGGCGCTCTTGACGTCTCAGAAGATCATGGCTAATCTTATGATCCGTGGATATCACACGATCTCCGGGGAGACGGCGAACCACGTTGCCAGATTACCGCCGTGGGTTCTGGTAACGAAAATGCGGATGGAGACACGTCGCCGGGGCAAAACTCAGCTGCCACGCCAGATTAGTGCGTGTTGGGATGAGCTCCGGCGCGATCTCATGGCGGGATGGCAGCAACAACTTTCGTAACCGAAGGCTGAGCTCGCTCTCTTGAGAAACACTATGGCGTCCTCACCTACCGCTTGAATAGAAGGGAGGTAAAGCCCGGGTGTCATCACTGCGAGGACGGCCCGGAGGATACGGTGGCGGTGTGGCCTGCGTGGGCCGAGCACCGCCGTGTCCTCTGGGATGTGATCGGCGGCGGTGACCTCCCGCGTCCTTTTCTCTGGTTCAGACCATGATACGGAGTGAGGGGGACAGTGATGACGTCTTTTTCTTTTGCGAAGCAGTCGACGAAACTGCTCCCGCCTCAGCCGTCACCAGAGGCACTCCGGGCGTCGGAGATCGTCTCGCGATCTCCGACCACCGTAAGCAGTGGCCTACGGACGGCAACCATAGGTAACGCACCGCCCGATCAGAACCGCGTACGCAAAGAGAAGGGCCTACAGACCACCACAGATGCCGCGATACGGCCATTACATACACCACAGATGCAGATGCAGATGCCGATACGACCCAATACGGCTGATGCCGATACGGAACCGCGGAGGACTTAACGGGTTGCCGGGGTTCCGGCTCGAAGTGCATCAGTAGTAACGAGGTGGTTTTTAGTTAGTAAGAGTCTGATACTCCTTCTCGTCTCACCCGAGAGGGGCAAGTCATTGGATGATTTTCCACACTCTAAAAAAAACTTCACCTAGGAATATTGAAATCTGTCAACCTATAAAGTATAAAAAAAAAACTGAAATAAAAAACAAAGAATTCAAAATGTACTTTTTTAACAACTTTTTAATTGATTGCTTCAGTCAAATTGTTGTCTTAGCAACTATCAGAAGTTCCTTGTTCAATCCTAAGTTTCCTATCTTATTTTTCTTTGTCTGTTCCTGACACATGTATTTATTTATTAATATTGAATATTATTACTATTATAATATTATTATATATTTATATATATACCTAAATAGATTGGAAGTACATAGGTACTGCATATTCCTGGAGAAATCTCTTTCTGCAGTCTTTCGACAGAAAATAACAAAAAATACACTGTGTGTAACAAAGTAGAAGTAACCAGTAAAACTCAGTATTGTGTGAGACAACAAAAGGATTAGATTAAAGATGAGATCGGAAAAGAGCCTCAGGAGGGCGAACAAAGGAAAAACGTTCGCGAAGGTAACAGGGTTTAGACAGGATTATATTGAAAAGTAGATATAAGATGCGAGTATTCCGATAAAGTTGGATCGGGAACCAGGAAAGGCTTAAGGCCTTTTGCAAAATTCAGAGACATGATTATACTTTTTTCAGCCAAAGACAAGGCGCATACAGACATTTTGCAATGGCTCAAGTTTATTTAGAAAAACCTCAGTGGCATCTAAATACCAAGCGTCAGCAGCATAGTTAATCAAAGAATAGATCAGACACTGCTTTAAGTGGTTTTCGGCGGCAGAACAACGGAGACGCTTCGGCGAATGGAAAGAATAATGAACTTCACGATCTCGTTTACCTGTTCAACCCACGAAAGGTTAGATGACCACTTCTCACTATCTATTCTAAGTTATATAGAGGACAGTAAACAAAATAGAAACATGGTATTCCAACTACTCCAACATTGCAATATTTAATGTAACAGTAATGTTAAAAAAGAGAAAGGTCTATTCTGAGCTAGTCGTGTAGTAACAGAGATAATACATTTGTCATTACCTCTCATCCCGTGGGTGTTACAAGAGCCAACTAATGACTAGGACAGGTATAGTATACCAAATAGGTTGTTTATACAAAAAATATTAAAACAATGTCTTACACATCTCATCAATTACAAACGTATAATAAGAAATTTAAGCCCAGATTTCCTTACGTTGAAAGTACATATAACTCGGAAAAGTAACTTGCTAGTTGGTAGGCTTCGAATGCCGCACTGTCATACATAAGAAACGGGCCTCTTAAACCTTCAACCCACCACAACATTCAAAACTAACTACATCTCAAAATAAACTAAAGGTCATTTTAAAACACATCATTTTAGAAATATACAAGTATTTCATCATAATACCTTTGGTTTAGGTTTCTTAAAGTTAAAGATATAAAGTACTCTTTGTTTGATTTATTTTGGATTCGCCGTAAACACAAGATCGATGCACTATAATGCATGTGAAAGCTAATACTAACTATTGTTCCACAAACTATAAACTTCAACTAGAAATTCCATAAACTATTGATAAACTACCTAAACTATTAAGATGCAATCCTAAAAGCAGATATCTAAACAATGGTAAAGTTCTAAGCAAGTTGGGCTTTCTGAAATATATTTCCTGCTAAAGCAAATTTGATAGTATTATCTATAAATAAACAAGGTTTAGCTAAAATATCACTCCATATCAACTTAATATACACAAGAAAAAAAAACGAACCGAAGCCATAACCTAATCTCAAAACTAGTTTTAAATCAGGAACCTAATATCGCCACTATCAACAAATGTGGGAGTTCGTCCGCTATGGGTCCCAACAGTCGCAAGTCTCCCCTATTACATAAGACTGAGGGGAACACTTACTTAAATGAAATTCAATTTACCTGCTACTTTTTTATCTACTATAGCCCAAATTATAAATACCATCAAAGCAGACGATTTGACACAAGCTCTATTACTGAAATAGAAATGGGTCGGACACGTAGCACGCGTTCAAGACCAAAGATGGACTAAAATCATCACTACGTGGAAAGGTACGGCAGGCGAAAGAAAAAGTGGTAGAAGTAAAAGATGGGTGGGCGAACAAATAGCTGGATACAACTGAATACAAACTGTGAAGTCAAAAGACGATTGGCAAATTTTGGAGGATACCTTTACTAGCAAAAGATAGCTCGCTGACTAAATACAATGCACGCAAGCAATTTAGTTAATAAATGCTTACAAACAAATTTTGTGTAGTATTGAGAGAAATAATAATAAAGAATAATAAAATTAAGATAAACAACTTACTAACAACTTCTAAGAAAAAGCTGAATAACTTTATACACTGAACTGAACTGTATAGCCGAACCGATTTACTTAAGTAAAGATCATTCGCGAAGGTGTCACGCGCATGACGTGGCAAAGTTACATTGATGACATATAGGTTAATCCGTCATAAAGTTGAAGGGAACAGTACCTTAACTTGCTTACCATACTTGTCTTGGTAAGTAAAGGCAGCTAGCTGATGAATATAAAACGGGATAGTTTATTAATATTTCAAATAATATATAGTGACCATATATCATTTCGCTGTGAGTAAAGACAAATAAGCAAAGCCAAAGATATTTTTATCATTTCAATGCAACAATGGACTGGCTTAATAACTAATGTTAAGCCAAAACTTAATCTCCCAACTCCTATGTAATATATATACGACATAAAATATCTGTGACGTAATACATATTAGATGGATGTAAAATTGCAGCATGTTCTAAATAATATGGAATCATCCACAAAAGGGCAATTATTAGTCGAGGTCGCAGTTGGATATTGCAGAGATTGTTGGAAATGTACGTCCACGTAGTAAATTGAATTTAGGGACGTGGTCGGAAATGTTGAAGTAGGTACTTTTGAAAGTGCACAGTCGGCTGGCAACACGCACGCACAATCGCATATGTAGATTTAATTTGACACTACAAATCCTTCATTAAGTTTCCCGGACGTGAATTTAAATGAATACATTGCATTCCGCCCACATGTACCCACGTATCCACGTAACAGATTCTATTATGCCTGTAATTCACACAATAGTTTTTCAAGCAATCAAGCAATGTGTGCCCCCGCAAGATACCATTAGATATATTGAAACAATAGTTATTAGTATTGATTTCATTTCAAAAATTGCAGTAAACATTGTGGCTCCATCTATGTGGACTCGATGCACATTATGCGTATATTTCATGACATTTCGCCTCAGCTTCTGTTGATGTATTCCATATATGCACGAGTACTCCAATTTGTCCTACGTTAGAATTTACGTGCAAATGCGCAAATCCTGTACTCAGTGAGACGTTATGCCGTTTATCCAATAACGGCTCCGGCTCAGTACATTTTCATAAAGTAACTATGAAAATTGTGCATAATAATTCTAATAAAACTATGAAAATAGTACACTATATCAAAAGTAGAATATTAGAATCCTTTCTATTATACTTTTCAGTTACTGAATCATCCATGTCATTTACCGCCTCGGCAGTTAATGTGTATTTAAAAACGACTGCGTAAAATGACTGGTGGAGAATACCTTTCGTCGTTAATTCAAGTCTGTCTTACTTGAAGGATTTTCATTATAAAGTTAAAATAAAACAAGTTATAAAACGATTTAGAACCCACACAAACTAGAAAACCACTTTGACGTCAATTTGTTCGCATTGTTATGGAATTGTTTTGCTAACAGAGAAATATTATATCGCAATGCCTTGAAGAAAACGGTGTACTTGAGAAAAAATACTAAGAAAAACAATACATACGTTTTTATGATTTTGTATTTGGGAATATTATTATCTTTAAGAATTCTTGAGTAGGATAACCGAAAAAAGATAAGAAATAAATAAAATAAAACAAAATAAATAAAAAAAATAAATAAAAAAAAATAAAAAAAACAAAAAGAAAAACACTTACTGATTCCTCTTTTTTTGACTCGAGGTTCTTAAACATAATGTCCAATTCCTCAAGTAAACTTCTGCTAAAATCAGTCGTGCTTTTCTGAAAAACAGAAACAAACCATGGAAATCACGTAAATAAGACTAGGACCACATACACTAAATCCACGTGTATATGCTTATAGCATGTGCTATAAGCCCTTTTGTGATAAGAGATAAGCCGACACCACGCATATCCAGTCTCTTTGCTGTTACTCAGAAAAAGTAGGAAAACAGATCACAAATCCAAAGAACTATGTAGGTAAAGAAAGAAAATGTGCACTTTCTACAGCACATTTTTTTTATTTTGTTTAATTTGGTGGTCTGGACCAGCACCTGTAAGATTCTGCATTCATTTTATAACACCTTGTATAACACTCCCCACCTCCCACAAACCCTGCCCCCCACATCTACAAGCTTTAGATCTAATGCAATTGAGCCTCCCAGCCACGCCCTAAACTGAACCCAAAGAATCACTAGTCAAGCCGACATATTTCCAAGATTAGTGTTCAACCCGTACCAGTATTCAATAAGTCCATCTCTGTTTACCCCATAACCATGATTGCACAAGAAATACTACTAAGTGCACACCACAACTAGAAGAAGAGGGTAGTGAAGTAGATAAAGCACTACTGGTTACGCGAAGAAAATTGTTAATTGAAAATATGAGACAACAAAAGCACGGAAAGTGAACCTATGTCAAAAGAAATCGATTTAATTAGCTCCAATAAAAATGAAACAAAATATTAAAAATCTCTTAAGAAAAAAAGATTTCAAAGTAACTTTAATAAATGAGAAACCTAAAAAATGTACTCACCAGTATGTCAAGATTCTCAGGTCTCAACGCGAGGTGCTCTGACTTCGGTAAGGACGCAGCAGTACCTTCCTGTAACAAGGAGAAGAACGTACTAAGCAACTAAAAATAAAAAAATCCAATAAGTAGGTAACACTTAAACGAAACAGGGATGGGAACCATCACTGAGACCGGGTGGAATTGTACTGAGAATTTTGTTACGAAAATCTTACCCCCCTCACTCCTCACTCCTCACCCCTCTACCCCTCTACCCCTCTGACGGTAAAAAGAATTATATGAATCTATATATAGTTTTTAATTTCCAATGTCTACGAACACGGTATAAAGAGGGTTTTAATAGGTCGTACAGGTCATTACATATTTATTATGAAACCTCGCATAGAAACAAAATGAAAGACTAGTACTTATGTAGCATTAGAGACCACTTTTCTAAATAACAAAATACACTCAAAATCTGTTAAAATGTGCACTGTGTTATTTGCAAATATGAAATATCAAAGGTTATTACGCAGAAACATGTAAAATAAAATTAGCAAAGCTAAACGAGGTCAACAGTTCCCCTCTCCACCGAGTGGGGCGCTTCGATCGCTTTTGAGCCATCCTCTCACAGAGTACATTTAGACAATTTATGTTAGGTACTTCAGGAATTTCAAACATGGCTGCAGTCTCGGGTGACATACATATTTGGTTGTCTCATTGCGAATTTTATAATCAAACCGAACCATACTTTGTTCAACTCGTGTTCTCAACATGTATTTCTAAGACAGGTATCTACGGGCGCGCAAAATTCTGCGCGTGTTTCCACTCTGTCTGAAGTACCTTCAAATAAATAATTTAGCTATAATAAGTTACTAAAATAATTTGCCCTTCAGACGTTCTCCACTCTGAACTACAAAGAAATTATTAAGTAATTTGGAAAAACCTACCAATAAAAGATTTTCATTTAATATATTGAAGGTACCATCGAATACTTACAACGCTCAATACCATTATTTTCCCCGTAAAAATATAATCCGATTAAATTTCTGTAAAGGTATGGAAATTCTCCTAAGTACTAGCACAAATTACTCTGATGGTGCTGTGAGTTGTGTCACGCTATTCCAACGAAATGGTTAATCGGACTTCTGAGTTCTGAGTTACACCTCATTCTCGTGAACCGTGCTTTCTATTGGTATACAGATCGGCTCACTCGCAAAAGAGTCGACGATAACATATATAAATATATGCAATTATACTAGTGGTTAGTGTATTAGCATTCTCATAATATTGACTGTATGGACCCGGGAACGTGACTTTATATTCAGAAAAGCCAAATTTTTATTTATTTCCATGAATGTCGTCAGTCTTGCTTTTTGTGCAGAGGAGTAAAAGCGCCTTACTTCAGTGTGGGAGTGTATGTTAAATTTTAATATTCATCAATGTATGTAATACCTATACCTGTTACTATTTATGACTACGTTTATATTGTTAAAGTTTTTGGCCAATCAACTTCTGATGATATTGTTACAATCTACTCAAAAAAATTTCAAACATGAAAAATAACATACTATTTTCCGAAAGAAATAAAATCCAATTGTACTTATGGTCATGAGACCCAGCCTCACGAGAAGAGTTACAAAAACGTTACCGGCCTTTGAGGACAGGAATAGTTCACCTCCGGATACTTCGCTCACATGGTGAAACACAACGCATCCATTGTTTAATAAAGTTTTCTAAAAGTCCGTGGTAACCTTCCGGTTGATTTGGACACGATTTACGATTTACGACTTCGACCATACAAGTATAGTCGTATAGTCGAAGTTAGAAGTCCTAGGGCTTCGTATTTATATTACGACGCTGCGGCACCGGCAGCCGCCGTGTAACGTGACAGCCTAATAATGAAAAACCGGCTTATTTCATATCTCTAAGCGCGCAAAGCAGGGATCCAAAGCGTTACCATAACTGTTCAACCCTTACAACTTTCTAGTTGATTGACTAATGCAGTTTGCCTATCGAGATACTTTTGGACACGGATGACCTACTTTTGCTGAATTGTCTTCGGTATCATCGACATAATACTTCAGCAAAATATTAGTAGTATAGTTAATACGGTAATCGTAATATAGGTTGTATGTACTCAACAACACAACCGTAAAAAAATCGAAAATCCCGCTGCGCAGTGCAAATTAAAAGAGGTGAAAGGGGGGAACCCCTTTTTTCGTGGAAACGAAACAATACGAATTATAATTTAAATTAATGCATGACTTGGTTGAATAATCCAAGCACACATAAAATTGCAAGAGTTTTCGGTTTATTAAATTAATGATTGCAAAATATTATAATAGCACTGTTCCTGTAAATTTAATTATGTCAAATGTTATAATAACAAAAGACATGACAAATTACATGGTACTTATAACATATTATTATAGTGTAAATTACACACTTTGAATAAATGCACCGCAACTACATATGCGTTGGCTCTGGGCTGTTCATGTGGCTACATACTTACATTTGATTACATAGATATTAAGTTATGTAGCTAGAGTATTTAAATTAATAGTATAAGTACAAAATAGTATATTTGTATTCATGAAACTTTATTAAGTACGTCTCGTTGTGAAAGATCTCAGTCTCTTAGCACATGCATGCTGCATATTGTTTGAAAGGAGGCGCCAACCCAAACATAGTTTATAAGCATTATAATCTGTTTTTGCAATACGATTATTATTTGTTATTACATACCTACCTACCAACTTAAAATTTCCCTTTGGGCAGGGACTGAAACCGGTTGGGGTTTTAGGTAACGGTACCGGTATAAAATAATTATACCCAAACTAAGGCTATATGGTTATTTAACCATTATGCAATATCGCTACCGAAAAACTTAGATTAACCGTTGCAAGACGATAAACGTAACAAAATTGCGAGGGGTATGGTGCGAAAATAGATATAACAACTGAATATTTCTGTGAGTGCAAATCAGGGGCAACTGATAAGCGCACGCCTGTGATCCTGAGAAGACAGAAATAGGATAGTTGAACTAACGTAATCAATATCTCTTTCATACCTTTATTATTATGGTTAAGATACAGGTATCGAAATATATCGATTTCCATTTGATACCCAAAAATAACGGTACCAAACAAAAAATTTGATACCGAATTAAACTGTCAAATACCGAGCGGTCACCGATGACCACACCCTATTTTTCTATAATTGTGTCTATAATGACGGTACTCGACGAGTTAAAGAAACCTTTATTTATCGGTATAACGACATACTGCAATTGAAATGTTCCTTAATTTTCCGCTTATTCAGTCTCTGCCTTTGGAAAAATCTAAGCATCGACAAAGCAATATAATTCTTTTTCATATCAAGTTTATAAAAGCATTTTCATATCAAGTTTATATAAGCATTTTCATATCAAGTTTATATAAGCATTTCTTAGTCTAGAATCCAATAGGTAAACGTTAGTGCGACATGGAAATAGAAAGTAACATAAAACCTTCGCAAAGTACATCAAAGAGGCGAAAGTAATCTGAGTTAGAGGAAAACTTCAAAGAAAATATGCACATTGTTGTAATATTTCCGTTTGCATTTGCAGCGTGATCAATAGATCACAGTGGGTTAGATGGGGTGGCCCACTTCCACGTTTAGGTCGGTCAACATTGCCCTTGTACCGCTAAAAATAAACTGGAAAATCTAAACAATCCAACGTATCATCCGAGCGCGATAGGCATGCCTTTACAGTGTACACACCCGCTTGCACCGATAAAATGTTTTATTGCAGGTACTGCGCTATGTCATTCTGGGAATATTTTCTACCTCACTGCTCGCTGGTCGGCAAATGTGAAGGTTGCAATTCTTTTCTTCGACATATTATGTGCGAATAACGGGTCGAGTGTCAATAATACTTTATCCATTTTAATCGTAAACTTATATCGTAATGCCTAATCAGACGATTTACTTTTAATAAATTCGAGAAACTCAGCAAATAAATTATGTATAAAACCCTTCATATAAATAATGCTAATTGGTTAGGAAGATTTTTTTTATTGTTTTAAACATGGAATTTTACAATATTTTGCCAATAAAAACAAAAGACATTCATACCAAGTTTTTGGGCAACTGTAGGGATTCGTAGGGACTAGGGACAAACTTTTTTATTTTTATGGCATAAACCATACAACAACGACCCCTAATTTCATCAGTATGTAACATGCATTATATGCCTATGAATAAAAATTCAAAGACCTTTAGAATATTATGCAGAGCCTCTGAACGTCTTTATTTAATACCTTCAAACGAGTAATTCTTGCATACATGTATCTATCAAAGATCTCTGAGACGGCTCCGCCGATTCTCTTGAATTATTGTATTCAGAGAGTTTCGGGGGCGATATCGCTAGGATTCATTTTAAAATATTATTGTTTTGTCCGTGTTTTCATTGAATAAAAACATCCTAAAATATATTAGAATACAAAACTTAATTTCATCAGCGCTAATAACGTTTAAATAGTTTAGTCGGGAAACCCTTCCCGCTTCCACATAGGACATTCGGGTTCGATCCGAATGTATCTTTTATTTTTTTTCTGTTGTCTATTTTACCTTTTTGTTGTATTTTATTTCTATAGGTTTTTCTTGATTTTCTTAAATAAATATGCACTAAAAAAACACCGAGCAAATTGCGGTCATCCAGGTATGCTCTGGGATGTATAGTAATAAAATAAAATCAGCTGAAGATAAGATAAAAACAACTTGGAATATTATACACAACGAAACTGTAGGAAATGATTGAGAAAATTTAATTACTAGAACTAGATAAATTTCATCAAACGTAGATGTAGCCCAGGAGTTTGATAATTGTTTTACCAACATTCTTGTCAAAACAACTGGACATTTAAAGTCATCAGCATATTCTCTGTAACTTTGCTTAACAACCATATAGGATCATGTCAACACAACTTTAGTTTTCGTTATCCGAATCCTCTAGAAATAATAAAAGTTTTTAAAGAAATCAACATCAACTCAACTAAGGATCTTTAGGGACTATCGGTAAAATTTGCAAGTCACTCATTGAAACTGTAGCG